TCAACACTGGAGCAAATTCCGATAAAATCAGGATTATTGATATTACTATTATTACCTCTTCTAGTATGGGAAGATGAAATGCTCATTAACTTCACGGTGTCCATTGATTGATGTCTCCAATTTGATTGGTGTCAAGATCTGTTGGTGTACATAAATTACCCCGAATGATTTACTGCTCTGGTTAATGCCATTCAGTTTGTCTTAAGTGCGCCACAGATATTCGATGTGACAGATGAAAGACGTTTCTCTCATTTAAAATGCAGATCGATGCTCTCCTCGGAGTCGCTCGTTCGTTGACATCAGGACAGGCGTCTCTTTCTGAGAGTGATGCAGCTGCTCTCAGTCCAATTGCGCCATTTTTTAAATTCTCTTTATTTTATAACTGGTTTAAACAATAAAGCAATAAGGTGAGTGAAGCGCTGTGGCTGTCAACAGTGTTCTTCAGCGGCAGGTTTATCATTCTTCAGTGATTCTGGTCAGAGGCTTTGTGCAAGATTGACAACACCCATGAAAGTCAAGTAGGAGAGCAGAAAAGAAGCCCACAGAAATCCAAGCATCAGTGGTTTGAAGCTGTTCTTGATTTTTTCTGTGTGAGCACAAAGCTCCATAACCTAGGCTTGCCTATGATTGCTTGTCCTTTCTGACAGGCTTTTTTAAATCCAGGGAACACAGAGTACCAAATTCCTCTTTCAACATAGTTGATGGTGGCAGAAAAACTAAAAGTAAGCGTCTCCTCTTGCATAAAAACATGAGCGAACGAAAAATAAATAAACTCCCAAAAAGTCTTCTGAATCATACAGGAAACCAAACAAGAGTTCCCTACTTGTCTGTGCAGAGAGCGGTTGACCTTGTTGTGCAACAAACTATGCTGTAATTCATCATCCAGCTGTCGGTGAGCATCACTTGTGTGTTTCTGCTCTGTAAGGCTGATTTGTTTTCTGTTGATGTTAAAAATGAAGAACTTTTCTCTCTGGTGCAGATTTTTATCATCCAAAAAAATTTATGTTCATGCAAGTATTTCTTAGATGAAGTCACAATGTTTGAATTAAAAAAGGTCGTTGCTTGAAACTTTCGTCCTCTGTTCTGTTACAGTACTGTGATGTGTGGCATCTCAACAATGCATTCTTTGTTTGATAATTCAGAAACCTGCAGGCAGTTCTTTTTTTTTTTTTCTTTTTGTCCTTTTTGCATCATAAAAGTGTCCTCTGCTCTCGTCGTCTAAATCACAAGGCGGGGATATTCTGTTTCGTAATCTTGCTTTAACATTTGGACTTAACTCTTTGGGCCATCATTATCAGTCTGCCTTTGTAGGGCATCACAGCTTCTGTGAGAAATAACTTCAGAGGAAAAAAAACTTTATAACAAAAGTAAGATTAGAGTGTAACTTGTTATCCATCAACTTGAGCTTTTCCTTTGAATGTCCAGTATGTCAGCCAAATTGGAGAGAATAAGCGACATGATTCTGTCAGATTTATTCTTGCAAAGATCTCTTAAAACTCTGTTGTGGAGATCTGGGTGACCTCTGACTGCAGATCTTGTTGAATCCTCCTGGAGCGAGAGCTGTGGGGGACCCAGTCCATGCCTAGTCATGCCGGCTTCTTCCCTGCTTCTGCTGGAGCGCAGACGGACACCGGCTCCCTGGTGGTGTTGCAGCCTCTGGTCAGACTGTTCTGCTCCACGCGGCTCCGAAACGGGAGGCAGAAGTCCCTGAAGCATCGCTTAAAGTTCTCATCCAAAAATGCATAGAGGACAGGGTTGAGGCTGCTGTTGGTGTAGCCCAAGGCGATGCACAGGTGCCAGCTCGCTGCCACAAAGGGATTCCTGGTGTCAATCTTCACCATGGTCTTCACGATGATGAATATGTGAATGGGGGTCCAGCAGATGATGAAGGCTGCCACCACCACCAGGACCATGCGGGTGATGCGGCGCATGTTGCGATCTTTTTCCTTAGAACCCGAAAGCAGACGGACGCTCCTCAGGCGCAGTATCATCAGGCCGTAGCATATGGTGATGACCATCACAGGGACCACAAAAGCAAAGATGAAGACGCAGATCTTAGTCACAGTGTCCCAGTACCAGTCAGGGTCGGGGAACTTCAGCATGCACGAGGTTTTACCTGAAAAGAGAGGACAGGTAAAATTGGACAGAAATTGGACAATGTAGGAGTATGGTATGGTTTGTGCATCAACAGTATGATTAAGGTAAAGGAGAGACAGTAAACTAACCCTTTTTTATTATGGCTGTGTACTAGAAGCTAGAAAATAACTAGTTCATACAATGTGCCATCTGAGCATTGTTCAAGGAAGTCCAGATCAAAATCTCAGCAGAAGCAATTTCACATAAAACACTATTTCATATCTTACAACAAATCCAAATACATGAAATTAGCACAAAGAAGAAAAACTGAAAGAAAAGCTACTTCTAGGTTATACCATAAATCACAACACCTTCTACCTGAAGTCAAGTATTATCTGAAACAGCAACATATTTTCTTCAGGGCTGCTTATTGTGTGGCCAAAGTTCAAAAAGGCAAAGCGAAAATGCGACAAAACGCTTTATACAATAAGTGTTCAGAATGGCCACACTCAAAGGCAGCCTTCACAGAGAGTGGCGATGTGCAGTAATCGATTTACTGCAGGGATGAAAGCACATTTTCAGACAGTCTCTCCTGGAAGGCATTCACTGTGTTGCACTCACACTAAATCAGACATAAGCAGTTGTGTAAAGAATGGAAGAAGCAGACTGATGAGACACATTCAGAAGCTGCAACCTTCCTCGACTGCAAACAGCAATCCAGTCACTGCATTAGTGTTGCATGAAAGACAGTTTGTCCATTGTTTTGTTTTTTTTTAAACGATAGACACTGTCAGATACAGCAACCCAACTCCAACATTTGAAACATGTAGGCGGACGTGGGTGTCCATAGTTGCAGATGAGTCCAATGTCAATAATATTCCTGGAAACACTGCGCTGGATATTTTGTATTATATTATTTTTTCTCAAAGATCCATTAAAAAAGATATTTTGCATTTTCAAGACATACTGTGGCTGCACCCAAGACGGGATGAGGCTGTAAAGACATATCCAAGTGTTTTCAAGTGACAGCGTCCAAAGAGCAAAGTATCGTAAAATAGTACAAAGAGTTCTGCACTGTGAAGAATCTCAAATGGCGTAGCAGGAAGCCTATTGTGACCCCTGCACTGGTGAGAGGGAGGGAGGCCATGAAATCCAAGCATCATTACCAAGACCTTGAGAATGTATTGCTTAAGGTCTGTGTTCCAGGCAACATTGTTAAAGTAAGCAGCATCATGAGAAGAAAAAAAGGACAACAAGACTCTAGATGAAAACATCAGGCAGAAAAATGAAATTATTATTGGGCAGCGTTGGAGATTTTAACAAGAAAATCTGAAACGTTCAGCTAACGTGGTCAAGAAAAGGTTGACAGAGAACAATATGAGCTTTTTGGAGTTCAGATCAGATGCAAACGGCCCCGAAAAATGAAGCCAACCCCGAAGTGTCAAAAACCTGCAATATCACTACGTCCGCTAGTCCTGGCTCCACAAAGCCCTGGCTCCCATAGACTTGAATTGGAAAAGAAGTGATCACAGATCATGAAATACTGCATTCGTACAGCTCAGGATTTGTAAAAAATTAGTTTTCATGGTCAAGTCCAGAGATCAGGTGGCCAATCTGAAAATAAATCAATACTGAATTTTTTTAAAATCGTCAACATTTTGCGGGGCAAGGGGCGTGGCTGGTTTGATTGACAGTCAGCAGCGACCAATCAGATGAAGCGAGCAGAAGGCGGTAAATGTGGGCGGGCAGAGAGGGCCCGCCTCTCAATCCGTCTGACCAATCGCTGCTCCTATGGCTCCGCCCCCCTCCGACGATTTTAGCCTCACTGGCTCCAAAAATCCAAGATGTCAACCAGGAAGTAGCAAAACCCTGGCTTCATTTTCTCAGTGCAGAAACCAACGGGTGACGTCACGGAAGCTACGTCCATCTTTTATACAGTCTATGACCTGAACCCCATCAAGAACCTGTGGAAGGAACTGAAGACTGAAGTGATGGGCAGGAAACTGTCAATCTTAAAAGACCAGAAGAACATCACAAAGAGGAGTCTTTAAAGAAATAGTTCAAACATATCAGTAACATCTCTAATATGATGTCTTTTGTCACATTTCCAGCCAGACACAACCTTTTAGTCAAAGGAAACTCGATATAAATCTTGTCATGGGTATGAACAGTTTCAGACTTTAACACTCATGCAGAGACATGTGATAAATCTGGGAGTGTTTGTACCTTCAGATGAGTAAGGACTGTGGAATTACTGAAATACTAATGCGGATCAAATTATTGTTATTATCCTGTTTCAAAGGAGGGTTATTGTATCAAGCACTCTAAATGTTTTGAAGGCTTTTCTTTCTCATTCTGAGAATCCTCAATAGATCATTCAGGGTCATAATCACTGTTATTGTTTTGTTTTTTTTCCCTGTGTGTGCCGTGTTGGTGGAGGACCAGAGGCTGTGTCTAATGAATGCAAATTATGCAGAGCAAAGCATCTTGAATTAAATTTGTTCTCCAGCAATTTGGCAAAGATTCACACACAGAATGCGCTTTCACCCGCTCCTGGAAGATCAGGTAATAATTATACTACAACAATTACAATAAAAAAAAAATGGCCACAAGGTAAAAGAAAAGATCATCTCACCACTAGGCGCCACTTTGGTCACACCCATGATCATAATGGGAATGCCGATGACCGAGGACAGGACCCAGATGAGCACATTGATCATCTTCGCCTTGACCGGCGTCCGAAACTCCAGCGCCCTGACCGGGTGGCACACGGCGATGTAGCGGTCCACGCTCATCATCGTGAGAGTGAAGATACTGGTGAACATGTTGTAGTAGTCGATGGCGATAATGAGCTTGCACAGGGCTTCCCCAAACGGCCAGGTGTCCATGAGGTATTTGGCGCTCTGGAAGGGCAGCGTGCTGGTGGCCAAGGCGTCGGCAAGAGCCAAGTTAAAGATGTAGATGTTCGTGGCTGTCTTCATTTTGGTGTATCTGGTTGGGATCAAAGAGCAGAGCAAAGGTGGAATTAAAATTAGGAAAAGTAAGGACGTTTCTGTTATGAGATATGGGGGACTGGACAGTGATATCCACTGTGTGGCCCTTTCTTTTTAGATGAAGCGTTCAGTCCCGTGTGCTGAATAGAGCTATGAACATCTAATGCTAATTCCCTGCAGTTTAGATATATTTTTTTAAATGGGTAATTTGAGATAATGGCTACAGTTGGCTCACTGGCCTCTGATCAGGCAGACTACTTGCAAACAAGGCACCAGGGATTTGTGGAAAAAGAGAATCTGCCGTTGATACCAGCTTCAGATATCCTGCATGAGGCTGGGTGCTACTTTTTAGAGTATATCGGCTTATTAGGGTCAGAAATTCTCTTTGGGCTACTCTCATTAAAATTGCAAGAAATATTCATAGAGAATCGTTATCTATTTAGTTTTTCTAGGAGGCAGGAGGGTTTTTATTGCAATAGATGGAAATACAGTCCAGTGCGTTTGAGGTGCATGTAAGGTGCACCTCATCAAAGCAGCAGCTATAAAAGTTTTTAAAAAATGCAATGAAATATTATTGCTTCAATGCACAAGAATTGCAGATTACATAATAACCTTATCCGGTGTTTTAATAAGAAAAAAGAGAAATAACAGTGGCATTAGCGGTGCAGCCTTTAATTGCTTTGTTCCATTAGAATACCCACAGAGAAATGGATATGCTTATTATGTTTCTGGTTATTTCTTTTCACAAAGGCAGTATAGAACATAGCCTATGCTCCTGGATAGTGTTGATGGGAGGACGCTCCACTTACATCTAAATGCAAAATGTCAATATTTGTCAGTTTTCACAGATTATGTGGGGCAGAGTTTTGTAGTTATGTGTTAAGTGTTTTCACTGGAACCTGAATAGCAGCAAAAATGCAGTTCAGACTTTGTGGAAAAGCAAAACCCCGTCCTGGACAGTCAACATCTTCTAACAAGGACAACATCACACTGAGTAGTAATCTACATAAAAAGGCTTTAAAATTGAACAGAGATGAGGTGACCTGTTTACATGCGTTTCTATGAATCTAGGCCGCTCCATTTAACTTTGTTGGTAGCCGGCGCTCTGTTTCACACCTCATCCTGCTTATTCCCCTCTGTACCAAGACCCAGTTTCCTTTTGTTAACTTATCAGAATGTTTTCTAAAACATCAGCATAACAACGTACTAATTAATCAGCGTTTTCCTGTGATATTAGGAGTGAGAGAAATGGTCGGTGGTGCTAATTCTTCCGTCTGGTGCCACTAAACAGAAAGAGGATGCAACGAGATGATGCAATTAAAAGACCATCTGTCCAACATTGCAGACAGGGAAAATGTCTCAGAAAATTATGTTCCTATTCATCTAAACTCAATTTAAAGGAGACTGTGATGTTAGAAGGAAAATCTTGAATAAGCCTCAAAGTCCATAGAAGTCGGTAGAGGCATAAGGGTCAAGGCCGCCATTATCAGCAGACTCAACAGGCTCATCAGGAAAGCTGGTTCTGTCCTG